GGGAGGGAGGGAGGAGGAGAAAGTAAACCGCAATGGAATGGCAACCATTAGTTATACTCCGAGTCGTTGCATGCTAAGCTCCGGCTAGTGCTTCAGTAGAGGCAGGGTTACCAGTGAGAGAAGACGTTCCCACTATAGAGGCGCTCGATAAGAGAGGTTTCATAAGATAATAACAGAGAACCGTTACATTTAATGTGATTAGCTTACCCTGCATGAGCAAATATTGCCATCCATAGGCGATACACTTGGTCAGGTGTTTCCTTCCGATGGAAATTCAACATTCCACAAGTGTCCCTCAAACAGTCCACCTGGAGGAAAAAAAGAAAAAAAAACTTGCTATGATAAAGTGCAAGGACAAACGTCTACAACTTTTAACACATTAGGAGCTCAGTTGCCCGGAAAACTGCGAATAATAATAGTTTACAGAGCTCGTGGATCTCACTTTCTCATTTTGAATCTTGTCTCAATAATACACCTACACTGCTTTGGTTTTGTTTCACCACGCTCTGTAACGAATAGCAGGTTCAGTTGCAAAACTAAATTCCTTGGAAAATTTGTAACTCATGATCTCTCCCACTTCAGGCCGATGAATTGAAATCACTTCGAGTTCTAATTAGGATATTTCTTTCAGACTGGCCGTTGTCGATACTTTTACTCTGATGTTAGAGTCATCCATCGAAAACGCTCCACAGGATCGATTTTCGTGCTTACGTCTATGCTGAATGGGCTTTAGGTTCGCGTCAAGTAACACGAAAATTCAGTTCTGTAAAAACTCGGACAATATACTCTTGAGTAACGAGGCCTATTCCTCCATACGTTTGTGTTTACCAGATTATTTTTCAAGCACGCCTTTACCATCAGTTACCTGGGAACAAAGCGTAAGATTCTCGTGAAATCTGCCCCGGAAAAAGTCACACTCGTCCCGGCTGACAATTCGACAGATGGCTTCGTTGCCCATACAACAAGGGCGACCATGGATTTCACACGTCATATGTGGGTATTCGCCGGGTGACAGATTCGACTTTTCTTTCTTACAAACCTGTTGTAGAATAAATAGTCTCTTTATGGAAGACTGTTGGTTTAACACCAAAACTAAAAGAAAGAAACCGGCTCACGAGCCAGATGGGACATCATGCCCAGGCGCACCCCAGGTTGAGATGCAAGTCTGCCTCAGGTAACCCACCTTTCCCCTCCGCCGTTTAAAAAACGAGGGGACAAAACTTGTAAGGGACAAAATTTGCTTGTGTGGATGACTTGACAAGGACTCTTGCAAGGGAAGTTGAGAAAGGTTTAAGAAAAATTAAAATTTCAACAAGTTTTTCTTTGCTAAGGTCAAAAGTGAGTAATTTAGTCCTTGACATTACGCTTTCCAGGCAAAACTTGAAAATTTGTAACATTTTAAAATTTGCAGCCATGAAAATTTCTAGTTGAAAGACACAAGTTAATACATAGGGCCAGTACTTACGGGCCAATTGGTGATATCTTTATCCCATTCATCAGGAACAACGGACGGAGGATCTAGACAAGTGCTGTAAAACAATAACAAGCCAAACAATAAACAGAAAACTCTTTATCGACACTTGGCCCTATCGACATGTTCTCATTTACTTTGAGACAACCCTTCCTCTGAACTTTACGGAGTGTTCATAATGAGTTGTGAGTTCTAACAGCTGCCCCCCCTCACCAGTCTCTCCGCTGACCTGAAACAGACTGGCTCCGAGTAGGCTCGTGTAGGCGAGCCAAAGTGTTTAAATGAGAAAAAAGTTGTCCCGCCTGACAAGGTTACCCTACCCGCCAAGGCGAGACAACTGGGCTGGGCCCTTATTCCCGCAGTAGTTACACGTACAAAATAATTGTAGGCTTCAGATACTCACTCCGGGTCTTGTCCACAAACAACTCTTGTATTGTTATTGGATTTGGAATACTTGTAAAAATAAGCAAAGGTTCTCTGAGGGAAAAAGTCAAACGAAAGAGAAATATTTAAGAGGAGCGAAAGAGACCATTACACGTGCACTAGAAGAGTTCCAGTATCCACCCCTGAAGGAGGAGAGTAAATGGATACTGGCAAACTTAAATAGGAACCTAACAAAAGGCTTTCAGGGAATGTGTGATAGATTGCCATCCAATTCAGGGATGGTGGCAGTTTGAAAAATAAATTTCATGTTGCTGTTTGTTTGTTCAGTAATATATCACAAATGACATCAAAATGTGGTGTGTACAAAAACATGGCACACAACACACAGCAGTGAGTATCACTGATGTCCTCACCACATTTTGACATCTCCCGTGATTTATTACTGTACAGAAACACAGCAACATGGAATCTATTTCTTTTATATCATAGAAGAGCAAAATATTGCTAATAGTAACATCATCATAGATCACAAGTAAGAACCAATCTAAATGTATGTTAGTTAATTCATACTACAGAAACAAGAGAAGCTCCAGTAGCTATGTTTGCAAGTTGGTCTTTCATGCAGACTTTAACCTCTTAACTCCTATGGGTGACCAAGACAGAATTTCTCCCTAAAATATCAATAAAATATCAACCAGATAAGTGATGAGAACAAAAAAAATATCAATTTGGGGATAATTAGTTGATTCAATATTAAATTCTCTGAACTAACATTATAGGAATTGTATGGTTGATGGTAGGGAGAACTACAAATTTGATCTAGGAGTTGAAGGGTTAAGGGAGACGTTACTTACTGAACACTCTTTCTGCGTTGTTGTTATACAACCAGAATCATCAGATTTCACACAACAACCAGCCTCACTCTCATTTCTTTTCTCCTCTGACAACTTTTCTTGCAGCCTCTTATCCCATCGCATACATGGCGCAAACTTTGCTCCCATTTTGATCAAACCTGCCTGTTAAACAACATTTAATGACAACTATTTACAAGGCAAAATCTTTGCAGTACTGTATAAAATACAATAAATGAAGAAAAAAAAAACATTCATGAAGACTTTACTGATTAATAGTGTGAATTTTTTTTGCACTTGTTTGTTTTTATCTATCTTAGCATCCAAAGAAACAATAAAGAGGATGAAAAACGTAGAAAGAAAAAATGGAGAATGGAACGACATAACTAAAAACCAAGCCTTAAGTAGACTGTATAGTACAAAGTATTGTAAATAAATTATCTTCCAATGCCATTTATGAACTTTTTGCATGTCATATATGAATTTTGTAGTGGGCCTCCTTCACCACTGAGCATCTGTAGCTCAGTGGTAGAGCATCTGAAGGTCTGGGGTTCAATTCCTCATGAGGACTCAGAATCTTTTTTTATGTCCCATGCTTGTGATAAGATGAAAAACCTCTCTCTATAGTTCTTTACTGAGCTAAAACATAATCATTTTTCACTGCCACAGCTGCAGTTGTTTGGTTGCATCACCTCACCCTTTGACCCTTACAAGTGATTAACATATACTTTCTCATCACAATATCACCCCAGAAGTCACAAGAAGAAGGGAAATGATCACCAACTATTGAGGCTCAAGATTTTTCAACAAATTCTCCTTGTTAGCACCTTTGGAAATGTATATAGAATAGTATGGAGAATATGTACACTAATGTAAGGGTGTAAAAAGTTAACAAACTTTCCCTAACCAGAGTAGAGAGAGCTCAAAGCTGGAAATGAAGCAAAAGCGAAATTTAAAAAGAAGGGAGAAACGTTCAAAATTTTTTATTTCTACTTGACAAAACTATAAAAAAAATAGAAGCTACTTATAGAAAGATGAGATCTCATAATGACTCAGATAATATTTATACCTGATCAGGACCAATCCAGAAGTTGTCAGGAATAATTCTTGCCACATATTCTGGTACAAGCGTTCCCATCTGACTTCTGTCAATCTGTGATAAATATTCAACATCTTACCAATTACACAGGCACTGAAGGAGGATGATTTTTAAAATAATACATGATTCATTACTCTGTTCTGAGTGCATTTGGGAACATATTGGTGGTATTGAGCCAGTTCTAGCAGAAAATATTGATCATAACCATCTGTTATTCCTGCATACCATATTTAGTGGTTCAAACTTTTTTCAGGTTGTGGAAGTTTTGAGACAAGTTTGATATTGAATTTTCCTTTTTCTCACAATCCTTACCAAACTAAGCATGAAGACAACTAAACAAGTGAAAACCAAGAGAAATTTATCACCACAAAATATTCATCTATCAAAACTGTTCCATGAAAAAACACATTTTTAAACAAACTGACCAGTCTTTTTTCTTCTGTCTCTGTAAATCCAATGGGAGCAAATCCATAAACTGATAACCCAACAATAAGTACAATCACTTGTACAAATGAGATCCAATAGGTGAAATAAGGCCTGGAGGAGATAAAATTACAACGTATGGTTGAAATGCCAGCTGAGGTTATAGATATGCTGTCTAGAGCACTGAGAAGGAGCCTTCACTAAGCCTGCTTCTACCTAAAGCAATTATATTATCTTTATTTAAACACAAATCAGCTGGCTAAAGTGCATTCTCATCTGGGTGTATGATAGCTCTTACCCACAATGATTTCACTTACTGAAAATTTGTCTACAAGCCTAATTTGCACTAAAACTTTCATGAATCTGTGCCTCTTTCTTGTTGTTTTATGAGAGCCTATTTTGAGCAGTGTTAGGAATGGTGTGGGGCAGTCGATCTTGTTTAAGAAAATTTGGTTTATGAGCTATTTGAAGTCAAACTCTTCCAATATTCAGATTCCTCTAAACTTAAAATGAAAAATAAATACAATCAACCATAGTTAAATGCTACTAATGATCACCAGCTTTTGGGGAGTGGGGATGGGGGTTAGGTAATTCTGGACAGCACACTAATTATTACACACCAAGCACAGTCAGCAGAATTAAATTTGGAAGCTGAACAAAAAAGACCAGAGAAGTTTCAAATTTGTGTTGTAAGCATGGTGTGTACAAAGGCAATGAAGATTACTGAGATACAAGTAACTTTGAACAGTAGTAACCTGCTGGGAAAACTTTTTTCAACCAGTTACCATTTCAATTCTGTCACGAATTTGTTCCTATAAATGCAACATTTCCTACCTGTGATCTGACAGGTTTTCAATCTGCTTTTTAACAGTGCTTGTCAAACGTTTACGCTTTATTGTTCTGTTTAACCATCTACCAACCATTCCCTTCCCATATTGACGACGGTTAGCATTTGTAGCACGGGGTCGCTGTGAAATCCTTTGTCCTCGAGTGCTGCGAACTGGTGGCCTTTGGAGAACAAAAGTCAATCTTAAGAATTGAGCCACAATTGAACTGAAAGCTCATAAGCATTTATTTTGTAATCATTGACCTCAAAAAACTCACATAGGAGGCCCTTCAACTTCATCTTTAGCTTCTTTTGCTGGAACAGCAGGCCTCTCTTCCTCTTGAATTTCTGGTAAAAATCCTGGTCTTTCAACTCTTCGTCTTGGCCTCTCCGACGAAAAGTCAAAGAACACTTCGTCATCAATGGAGGGGCGATCAAATCTCTAGGATTAATTATGCAAACTATTAATTCTAATAATGGCATTTGTTATAAAAACCCTTGGTCGTCATGTACGTGCAACAAACATAAACCTTTAATTCCCAGAGTTGATGAACATGTAACTTCTCCTAACAATATTATTAGACTGAATGCTATTCAGCAAATGCAATGAGAATGGCAAAACGATTCAGACTGTTATACTGATATTTCTCTTCCAAACATCCATACAATACCAAGTAGACAAGTGACAAGAAAAAAGAGAAATACAAATTAGGGATTTACTGATTCACAACAAATTTCTCCAGACTGACATGATAAGAATTGTATGGCAGACAGTAAGGAGAACTACTATTGAGGTCTGAGAGTTAAAGAGTTGATGTAAAAGGTTAATGTGGACTACAGTCTGGGGCAGCGCTCATTCAAGGTAAGAAAATGTAAATAAATAACAAAGAAAAATAAAGAACACTACTCTATCACTTAATGAAAATGAAGAGTGTATTGTATATGATATGGGATAGGGCTGTGCAAATTTTCAGGAGAAAGGCGACGAGTGGTATATCTGGTTTTAGTAAGTCTTAATCAAGTCCTAATAATCCTTGGTCCTAAGTCAACCCTCTTTCTGAAAACTCTAGGAATCAAAAAGTCCCTCTGGGGTTAGAGGCTCATTAAAATATCTTACAGTATGGTCTAGCTCACCAGGGCTCAGTGGAAGAGTATTTGAGTGCCGAATCTGAAGGCATGTGGCCCAATTTTTCATAGGGACTCAGAATTCACACTCGTGATGTGACAAAAAAATCTCACTTTATCTTACAGTATCCTAAAGGGATACCCCATCCTCTGGGGATTATTACATATTCATCAAGTTATCTTCTTATGGAACTGAGCAATGTATAAAATTTTCTTCAGAGAGTATAGACTCACAGTAACAGGAACTGCACTGTCAACTTCATCCATTTCTGACTGCGACATGACAGCTGGTGAGAAGCTCCGCCCAGCCTCAAGCAATGTGCTGACTGGTTGAGATTTTCGTCTGGGGGATTTAAAGCTCTGTTAAGAATAAATAAATCCTACATCAATAATCTTTAGCTGATGGAATGGGGAGAAATCCAGTCCAAAGAACTAAAAACTGCTGAAGTGTTATTCAACAAACTGACATGCTCAAATGACAATTTGCCAATGCACTTGTCATGTTGGCCTACAAAAATACGCAGTGATAAAACAGTCATAGGCATAGTCAGCTTCGTGTTGGCCAAACTTATCATTGGCTGAGGCAATACTTGGATCTCATTAGTTATCACTCCATTCCTAAAAGCACAAACCAAGACTACACAGCTTCAAGTTTGGTTTTAAGGAGGATTAATTCAAGAACACACCATTGTTTAACTCTTTAACTCCCATAAGTGACCAAGACACAATTTCTCCTTACAATATCAATGCAATACCAAGCAAACAAGTAATGAGAATAAAGACAAATATTAATTAGGGGATTGTTAGTTGATCCTATTCCTAATTCTCCAAACTAACATCACAAGAACTGTATGGTAGACAGTAAGGAGAATTGCTAATGAGATCTTAGGAGTTAAATGGTTAGGAAAAATTTTGGAATGGATTCTCCTATGAATTTGAAGATACCACACTAGATAACAGCAAGGTGAATGACCCATGCAATATTATTTTTTTAGAGCCAAAATGTCTTCAACTTCAGCTAATAAACCAACCCTTGGTCTTAAAACTCTCTATAATGTTGTTATACTTCTCAGTTCTATTCCTTCCAATCATAAGCTGTTAGCATATCATACATTTACTAACACCTTGCTATATATACAATAACAACTGCACTTAACTTAATTGTTGTTCACTCATTTGTTTTGATCTATTTGACAAATTGCCATTCTTTGTGTTTTCATATGGATTTGTTTTACATTTTTTTCAAGTACAGTATATCTAATGATGACTTCTGCTCAGATTGTCAAAATGTCAGTCACCACTATTGACAACATTCCTCCTGAGGACTACACTTACACCCATAATGAGAATACACACTAAAATATTAGCCCTGGGTTCAAACCATAGACGGTGGTATATCTTAACATAATTTGAATAGAATTTCTTTACTTGAAAGAATGCCTACATGTTAACAGAAAGTTGTGTCATGTTGTACATTTTTAGTGTTTAAATATCCTTGAATAAGCTCATAGATGCACAATGGATCAAAAGTGTTTATCAAGTCATATCTGATATACATCATGTTTGCATCAACAACATTGTTATTTTACCTGGAAAAGATGTTGAAATGATAAGGAGTATTTGCACTCCTTTTTATTCTTATACTCTGCTCTAATCATCTAATCTAATCTATTTATCAAATGTTCGAAAGTTCACAATGAAACCAAAGCAAGGAAGCATTAAAAAAAAGAACTTTACCCCAGTATCCTCTTTCATTTTCTTCATCCTCTTCCACGCCATTGTTGCCACTGACTCACGTCGGCTCAATGTTCGCACAAGATCAGGATCAGGTTGAGGTGCACTCTGATAGCTACTGATGCTTCCTGTACCACTGGGCACTTTGAGTGACCGACGAGGAACAGCATCCACAGCATCCCCTGATTCCTCATTGAGAGCACCATACCGTTTATGGTAGTGCCGCATTTTTCTCTGAGTCCACTTCCTTCGTAGTTGGTCATGTTGTTCGTCACAATCTCCCAAGCCAAAAAAGTCCTCAGTACCTTTAATGATTTTTCTGTGGAAGGTAATTAAGATAAACCAAATGTAATTTTTTCCATCACTGTAAATGGAATGGTAACGGTGATAACAAGGTAATTAATGAATCAAGTTAGAGGTCTATATTTTTGACCAAGGGCTCTTTTTATGAAGTCCAGGTAACTAAACAGGCCCATAAAGCTGATCTGTTTTCATTCAAGATGATGGTTTTAAAAGTTTTGAAAGTTGCACAATAAACCTATTAGCTAAAGAAACAGAATAGAATGGTTAGATTGCCACAACCTGCTTCTTTACTCTTTGTATCTTTATTTCAAAATATGGCTTTGGGCCTGTTTAGTTACCTAGACTTTTGAGAAATGGACCTCAAGACTAACAGGTGAAGGGGAGGAGGGGTACTAGGGTACACTGCATAATTTGGCTCAAGAGGTATGGGCTGAACATCTTGAAATAGCCTGGACAGGTATGGTTTTCGAGGTCTTGAATCCTAACCTGGGTATGTCAATCAACCTACTCAGTTTCTTGAACAGGGTGTCTCTCCAGACCCATAAACTTGAACAGGGAGTGAATCTTGGTCATTCATGGTCTTTATATTATATACATATACTATACCAACAATTTATTTAATTTTATATTTAAATATTTTGTATAATTAAGCAGAAAGTGACTCCCATTATTTCACTATGCAACAATATATAAAAATATTTTTCCTTGAACAGGATAGGAAAATTATAGCTTATGTCTTAAACAGAGTCACACAGGGCACCTCTAGTCCAAACTTTCATTTTCTGTACCCTAACTCCTCTTCTTTAACATGCTTTAGTACAGGGGGTAACCAGGGAGGGGAAGGGAGGGAGGGTCCTGATCCTGTTTTATGCTTGTCACTTATACCAAGAACAGCATTTTACATGTTATGAATATGAAAGAGAAAACTGACTTCAAATCTATCTTCTTGTACACCAAGTCTAAGAGAAATCTTAACTTTTTCATGAGAGGACAGAATAAATTAAGTGGTCACATATAATTCAGGACACAAATCACGCCTTGTACTGGTTCATAAATTCCTGAAACTTGCTTGCCATTCTGTAAAATTCTCTCATCATGTATTATTTTTGGCCTGAATCATGAGTCACGTATGAAAACCTTCTTACGTTTTCTAGCAAAGAAAACTAGACACAAGCCTCAATACAAAGCAATCTGGAGTGTTAATATTTCCCAAGAACACAACACAAGGCCAGAAAATAAATGTTTCAATTTAGAAATCAGCAAGTTAGGCTGTGGAAAATCAGCCAAGTTCATACGCAACACCTGCCAAGCTCAACAGATATTCCTGCTAGCTGAGCATATCAATATTTACTGCTAATGACTTCCACTGTTAATTTGCATTATATCAATTTTAAAATCAATTTCATTGAATAAAGCATTTTATATTATGAGGGAAATGATGTAATTAACTAATACAGCAGAAATAAACAGAGAAGAATGAAAGGAACATCATAAGAAAGTTCTCAGATGCTGTAAAATAACTCTAAAGCCTTAACACATGCTCCAAAGAAGATCAGCATCTCATCATCACTTAATGCATAGCTGAACATGTTATACAAATAGTACTGACTGTAATCGTAGAACAATTACTGCAGCAATTAGCCCGAGTTCACGGAAAAATGTCATTTGATAATTAGCTACTATTTAGCACCCCCTGAGACCCGATGAAGAATGCTCTTATCACGTACTCTCCTCGCATAATAAAAAAAAAAACAAAACACTAGGAGCAGTTTAAAAAAACATTTTACTGATTGAAATCTGAACCTCAAATCTTTGCTAAAAGCAAAATCCTACCTCTTTCCCCGCTTGAGAGTGTTAGATATACTCGCTATACTTGGCCTGGCTGACATTCTAGGAATGCTTATACTATCTAAACTGGGTCTTGCAGACGCTGGCTCTTGAAAATACTGAATATATTCTGGATAGCATTCTTCTTTATCCAAATCATTGAAGTTTACGTGCTGTTGGGTGTAAAAGACACCCGAACTAATCGAACCACGAGAGCCGCCAGAGGAAGCCATTTTACCAAGTAAATACACTGACTTGGAGCTTATAAATTTCGCTGTGCTCAATATTCCCACAGATATTAGTTTTCTCGAGGTTAAAACAATGTATGCGTTGATATTGGATGGCAAAAGTATACACAGGCCGAAAACATGACAGCGCGAACAAAAACAAAGATGATGACAAAATTACATTGAAAATAATAGTTTAAGTTATAAACAAATCTAACATCTTGTTCGTTAATGTGAATACATCTTGTTCGTTAATGTGAATACAACTTTTCGTTTGATCAATAATAACAATGTTTTCGGCACAAAATCATGTAACCGGAAATGAGAAAGAGCCTAAATATAAGAACAGTGTTCCATATATGTTAATGCATGCTATATCTCAGTTCCTCGAACAATACGAAGAACATTCAGCAGATACAAATAAAAATATCAGCAGTGAATTTCATACGTACTTTTTGAGTGTCTTTACCCGGGTCAGCTTGCTAGGATTTGTCTCACTCTCTGCTACAGCCGGGAGGAAAAGTTCGGATTCCGCTGGACTTGGTATTGCACTGCCGTCTTCCGTTTTGCTAGTCTGTCTGGTAACACATCGAGTCAACAGCCTTCAAATTCAAACAAGCAACGGCATAAGGTTTATCATCCATAATTTGCCAAGAACAGGTTTTACTTCCTGTTAACTAAAATTATTAACATAGATTCGATCGCTGCTTTAAACATCTCTTAATTCAATTTGTACTTTGGATGGGCCGTAAGCGTCCAAGGTGACGCTCTTCAACAAAGCACAATATTTATTTCTGGTAAGCTAATATGTGTTTGATGGAGATCAAAACAAGTTAAGACGTGAATTTCAAACCCGGTTAATGGTAAAAGCCTGAAATAATTACCCCTGATTTCCTCGATCGTGTTTCGTTCCTTCCCTATCGCCCTTGTTCTCTCCTTCGTATTTCTGACTACTCTCAAGGTCCGAATGCCTTCGACTGTAAAACGGGTTACAAAACGCTGTTCTTTCATTCTCTTCGCTGTCTTGCCTCTGAACCGTTGTAGGTTGGTAGGCACCTGCCATGGCTGGCTTTGCAGCCCAAACGAATCAAGACAAAGATGTAGTTTTATCGATTTTTCTGTCGTTCGAAGCAAGAAAAATGCTTACTTTTCAGCAGTTACAACTCTGAGAGGTCTGGTTCCGAATAAACCTGCCTATCCGCGCCTTCAAAGATTACAGTACAAAAGGGAGTGGCAGCTAGGGGGAACACCCCTGATCCACGAAATAATCTGTGACATAGGAAAGCAGATTTCAAGATAAATGCTATAGCGACTTTCTTAAAATGCATATAGAATTTCTGCTGAGTAGTGGTCGCAGTTTCTCAAAGGGAAACCTTTTCAGCTCTACTGACGTGTGATCGCTTTCAGATTCCTTTGTCACTCCCAAAATTATTTAATATCATTCCTCTACCAATTTAGGATCTTCTTGCCGGTGATATTGACCTAATTTCAGATTTTCCGCATGAAACTTTGAGGGGAGATTCCAGGAGGAATATGACGAAAAAATCATACAATTTTAATAAAATCAACTAAGACATACTGAAAGTCTGGAAAGAACAATGAAGACTTGATGAAAACAATTGTAGGTATATTTTAGAGTAATCGGTGTAGCGATTAAGAAACAAATATTAATATTTCAATGAATATTCGATTGATTACTGCAAAAACGTTTTTCTCCTGGTATGAGAGGAACAGGTCACATCAGTATAAAAAAGACATGGTTGTCCATCAAATCGTACATCCAACCTGATTGTCACGCGACTCTCGACTCATTCTGGCTATCTGCCCACGGAATACAATCGTGTTAGGATGCTAACAGAAAATGACTGAGTCGCGTGATAAGATAAAATCACGAAAGGCCCTTAGCAGCTCGACTGTCCCTTTACCTCGCAATTGATAATAATAATGATAATAATAAAACTTTATTTAAACACGATAAATATTTAAAGTCAGAGGCTTGTGGGGTCGTGTTACAACAAAATTGTTTTTTTTATATGAATTAATATAACATATCTTTTGTATCTTCGCACCTTCATTGCTGTAACTCACGTCTTATTGATCTACCAAAAGACTTCAAAACGCCACAGCAAGAGTGATTTTTCAGATTACGAAATTTCACCACGTCACACCGGCTCTCGTCTACCTACTGTGGCTCTCTGCATCACTGAATGCTAACCTCTTTAAATAAAGACCTGTTCTTACATAAACTGAACGCTATGCTTGGTCGATTCTTACTAATTGAGAGCACTCTAAAGAAGGGTTTTTGGACCATGTCCTGTTTAGAGCTGTACCCTCGTGCGTATGAATTATCTTCAGTTGAATGCAGTATCTGTAGTTACTCTTCGAACATTTTGAAATTATCTGTGGTAATGGGGCTTAAGGATACACGCAAAGGAAGAGAACACCTACAGTTTCCTTTTCTTTCTTTTCTTTTATTCTCGTAGTCCAGTGTAGTGGTATTTTCTTTGTGTAATAGAGTAGTGTAATGTAAATTTATGCATGTAGAAATTTGTGATGTATCTCGCGTACTTGTAAAAACTGTAAAAACCCAAAAACAAATAAAATACAAAAAAAAAAAAACCCTACAGTTTCCTACGCAGATCATTTTGTAGCCAGCCATTAAAATAAAACCTTAGCCGGAAAAGGTTAAGATTTACTTCAGATCAAGACGAGTATTTAACTTCTTTGTCTAGATACCATAAAATAGCCGGCGAAAACGTTGGCTGCACTCCTACTTGTACACTTCCTCTATTAAAGTCTTCTCAGGCTCACTGGTGGGAAATTCTCTATTAAATTAAAGGAAGCTCGTTGGAAGGGAGAAAATCAAGTTAATGCTATCTCCACAGGGTCAAAATGGAATGAGGTGGGTTAAAAGACATGAGAAGACTGCTTCATGTTTCCATCGCACTTTATTTCAGTCTTTCTTACTAAGTTTGACTATTGTTTCATGGCTTGATCCTTGGCAACAGCTCTCTGTCCTGAGTGATTCTTTGCCAGGAAGTCTGTGAATTCCTGGTATGGTGCCTTGGTAAACACAGTGTCCTTCCACATGTCTGGGGTCAGGTAACAGAAGGTCTTGGAGATGGCGGCAAATGTAGCCTTGGCTGAAAAGGGAGAAAAATCATGTTGCTTAAACACATTCCTGCATCCTTTAATCTGTACTGGTTAAAATAGTTGGGTAGAACTTCTCTGGTGTTGTAAACGTTACAATGCCTTGTTAGGTTAGTACTATCTGGAAAATTTTCCACTCAAGAGAACTTTAGGATCATTGTTTTCCTTAAAACTAAGCATCTTGATTTGGAGAAAACCATGCAACTAGAAATTTAACAGCCCTATCTGTCCCTACAATGATACTATTAATTTTTGTTTCGGCCCAGGCATCACATCTAACTCAGAGAATGACTGACACAAATTAACCACAAGAATGCTTCTTAAACAGACATTTCATATACAGCTTTTGCTTAAATTCAAAATCAAATACCAAAATTTCCCAAAGTGGCAGTCTGTCCTCGTGCTGAGGTATAACAATCCTCAATACCAGCCATCTGAAGCAGTTTCTTGGGGACAGGAGCAGACACAATACCAGTTCCCCTTGGTGCCGGAATAAGACGTACACGTACTGAACCACATTTTCCTGTCACCTTCAATGAAAATGTCGATGAATATTAAACCAATGTTTGAACAAGTATGGAGAGTAATTTCCAATATTGCATTGGTTTTTCTTTACTTTGCTCTATGCCTTGTCTAAAAGTTTGTATCATCCTTCCAAACAACTGAATGCAAAACTACAACCAATAATAATTTCATGTAGTTTGCTTGTGTTTATTTCAAGTTCTGATTGGCCATTGGCCATGGTGTTTTATCACTGTTTGGTTGTATAATCCTTTGTTGAAATGCACTCTGAATAGAACTTCCTCTAAGTGAAATCATCCATCCAGCTACATGTAGTTGAAGCAAATGGCAGCTGGGTTAAGATGATGGATGTTTTTCAGGAAGTGACCTAATGCCCCCAGCAAATATTCTGTTAACTTAATGGACCTGAAAGCCATACATATATTTTAGGATGTATATCTACAGAAAAGGAAGGGTCTTTACTCTTAACATGGTCTATTATGTTTTGTTTCCAGATATTTTCTACAGTATGAATTTTGATCTATTTAACTCTCAATCTTGAATGCAAACATAGTAGACAAAAGACAACTTTGATGGAGGAGGAACAGCCAGGAATTTGAAGAAACAGGCTGAGAATTTAAACAAGCAATGGCACAGTTGTTTGGTATCAAGCCACAAACTATGGTTTTCGAGAGCAGTAAGAAATGTAGAAAAGAAACACAAACCTTGCAAGGTACAGTATGAGGCTGACCAATCTTGTTACCCCAGTAGCCACGACGTACAGGAATGACAGATAGCTTGGCAAGAATAATTGCACCACGAATAGCTGTGGCTACCTCCTTTGAGCACTTTACACCAAGACCAACATGTCCACTGCTGTCACCAATGGCAACAAAAGCCTTGAAACGTGTACGCTGACCAGCTCTTGTCTGTTTTTGTACTGGCATGATTTTCAGAACCTCGTCTTTCAGGTGAGAACCAAGAAAGAAATCAATAATCTCATGTTCCTGAAAAATTAAGAGGGTAAATTTAAAACCAAGCAGACGGTTTCTGTAAGAAAATGTACTTAATCAGTCAGGTCTTCCAGGGAGGTTGTTGTGTTACAAGGTGACAAATTATCACAATAGGTACAGATGTTGCAAAATTGGCAAATCTTACTTTTTTTAAGTCTGCTCAAAAGCTGACATTTAATATCTATGGACTTCAAAACAAAATCAAAATTGGTGTAACAATAGGTGGTGCTATTTGTATCAGAGTCTTGCTCATTTCTGCAGAAATTTAACCATACTCCAGCCAGTAATTTGTTAATTACAAAGTCTCGCATACCTAAATTTCATTGCGTTATTACAATTCAAATGGCTTTGTCATTCACAAACATGCAATAAGAGAACAGATCCATTCAGATGTATTTCTCATTACCTTAATTGGAAGAGAGAAGAGATAGATCTGCTCTAAAGTTTTGATCTTCATGTCCTTGACCAAGCGGCCAAGCTTGGTTACAGGCACCCACTGAAAAAGAAGAGATGCAACATTTCAAAAGATAGAATCTTAGTTTCATCATGATAACTTCAACTGTGAGTACTATGACTCTAATTGACTGTTCAACAAAAGGTGGTAAGTCCTTGAATGCCTCAAGATAAATTTTGTAGAGATTCTTGTCTGTAAAACAAACTTTACCAAAAAATCCAAATGTCTTTATTACAAGAGATTTCATTCTATCCAATGCTGCTTTGCATCTTGCTAGCAAATTATGAGATGTGTAAATGGTAAATCTCAGGAGAACATTACAATTATCCAAGATTACTGTGGGTTGCTTCAACCCTTTAATTCCCACAAGTGACCAAGACAGAATTTCCCCTTACAGTATCAATAAAATATCAAGCAGACAAGTGATGAGAATAAAGAAAAATTACAATTAGGAGATTATTAGTTGATCCAATACCAAATTCTCTAAACTTACATTTTAAGAATTGTATGGCAGACAGTAAGGAGAATCATTTAGAGATCTAGGGAGTTAAATGGTTAAAGTACTCTGATATATACTGAGAAAGCTGAAAATCTACAACTAATTGTGACTTGGCCTGTATTACAGATGTAATCCTCTTTACTCACTTAGAGTTCTCACTATCTCCTTGAATTACTAAGCTTTTTTACTGATTTAAGCAGTTGTGATTGGTTTGGCTGGTTTGCTTACACTCTTTGAAAGGCTCTATACTGCCTATTGTCCATTCTGATTTGATCAAAACTATGACAACTTATCAAACATGATTGGTTAGCATCAGCTTGATTTGAGCACTGATAGGACAGAATAATGTCACGCTTGTTATCAGATGTCATAAGACATGGTACTATACCCATGGCACGTGTCATGTGTGCACACTGTTGCTGTGCATTTGGCTGAGTTAACTGTTTTTTTCATAATCAATTTCATAAAAACATAACCAATGGCTAATTTGTTACTAAAACTTTGTCACGGTTCTGATTAATTTGTAACAAGACTTCAAGTTGTCCAATTGGTGTGCTATCATATCTTGACACTCCTATGATTAGAGAATGAACTGGATTCCACTCAGTCCTGTTACATTACAAACTCAGTTCAAGGAGGGCATTAGGAGAGCAAAGGGGACTGAGAAGGGATTTTAATTTGGTGAGACAGCAACAAATTTTCCTTACCTCCTTATCTTCGGCTTTACCCCTTCCACGACCCCTTCCTCGGCCACGACCACGGCCTCGTCCGCGACCACGGCCACCAAATCCACCACGAAAACCTCCGCGAGCACCACCGGCTGGTTCTGCATCCGCCATTTGCTACAGAGGAAAAATCACATGATTTCAACGTAAGTTCTCAATCCGAACAATTGAAAACACTATAAAGTTATGCACTGCTATGAGTCGTAGTTTGACCGCTCGAACAACATACTGTTAAATTGTTCAGATGTTTATTGTGTTTCACATT